TTTTCAACACTCTCAATCTTTTCTCTCTCTTTTTTTTTTTTTTAAAAACCAGCAACACAGATTCAGAAGAGCAAAATAAAAAAAGGAAGAATGACACTGAATATTTTTTTTTTTGAAGATAAAAACTGAAAATTAAAGATACACAAACCTGATTTAGGGATCTGATGCTCTGATACCAAGATGATGAGAACCCCAAAGAGAACAATGAGAGCCACAGCACGACAAGGGATTCCTAAACTTCAAGAAAGCTAAATCAGGTTTATGATAGGACCTTGACCCGTTGTTTATGTCGCAACAAGAACCAAAGGTACAAACTTTGACCCTTTGTCTATGACGCAACAAGAACCAGAGGTATAATGTTAGTTGACACCACACCCTTGAACGATTAAGAACAAGAATGATAAGTCAGGTTAAAATGTCACAAGAATAATCTTGATAAGTTCTGTAAAGTTCTGAAATGAACCAAAGAGAAAAGTCTCTCAAAAACTCAGATTCAATCGCCTCCCTCAATTAGGGTTATAAGCCCTTTAAATAGGGAAAAGTAATTCTAATCATAATAGGAAACTAACACCCTAAGCCCTAATCATAATAACCACGAATTGGGCCTCAAATAAATGAATGTTCAGCCCAAAATAATATAAAAAACGTGAAAATCACTAAGAGTAACCTAAAGTAACATGAAATATCAGTTTGTTACAAATTACGATAGAATTGTGGGATTTTGACGCAAATTATGTAATTTAACATAAATGACCTCAATTAAGCCTCTCTTGAAGCTGAATGAAACATCATGCCTTGATAATCTTCCAAGTTTCGATTTACTTGTTGCATGTTGTTATCAACCCAGATCTACTCAATAAGGCCATTTAAAGTTTCTCGCATCTTCCTAGCTCTAATTGGACCTCTTGGAATGTGTAATAGATCTCTTGATGTGGTACATGTGGGGTCATCTTGATTCCCATCAAAGGGACTCAATTGAAGAAATCAAAAGTTAAAGGGGTGAAGTTCATCAAAACGAATTTACAAGTCTAGCCCAAAACCCACCAAAACCCAAAATCCACAATTACCCAAAAACCCAAAAAACCCAAAGCTTATCAACTACCCAAGCCCAAAATCCCAAAAACCCAAAACCCATATAACCTAAAAACACAAAACCCAAAACCCAAGCCCAAGAAAAAAAAATATAAAAAAAATAAAATAGAAAAGAGAATCTGGAATTTTCCTCTCAGCTGCTGTTCTCTGCCCTGCTCCTACGCTCGAACCTGCCCTGCGCCCCCTTGCTTCTGCTTCCCCTTTGCTTGCTACGAGCTAGCCCGGCTACACCCAAGCCTACCCCCCCTGCTACTGCACCCGAGCTTGCAGCAGCCTACGCGCCCTGTTGCCTGCGCCCCCTGCTGCTGCAGCTGACTTCGCCCCCCTTCTCCTGCACCCCCCCGAGCCTACAGCAGCGTGCACCCCTTGCTGCTTGCGCCCCCCTATTGCCTGCGCTCCCCTGCTGCCTGCGCCCCTACTGCTGCACCCGAGCCTGTAGCCGACTCCGCCCCTCTTCTCCTGCACCCCTCTGCTCCCCCCTACTTGCTACAAAACTGATCCTGCAGCCGACTCCGCCCCTCCAATCCTACACCCCCCCTCTCTACGCCGCCCCTCTTCTGCAACCAGATCCTGCACCCCCTCTCTGCGCTGCCCCTTTTCTGCAAAGACAGATCCTGCGCCCCACGTTGGAGCCAACTGAGCATGATGGCAGACCAGCGTCCTTTAGGGTTTCCTTTGATTTTTGTATAAATAGGAGAGGATTGGTGAGTTTAGGGAGTTCGGTTTTTCTCCTTCTGGATTTCCTCTTCTTCTTGTCACTAAAAAAGGAGAGAAGCAGAAGACAGAAGTCCGAAAGAAGGAGGGTGTTTCTTTTGTTTTTCTTGGTTCTGGGTTTTCTTTTTTTCCCTTTTGCCTGAGTTTGGTGTTGACGGCAGAGAAAGAAAAGAGGAGTACTCCGGTTAGAGCAAGAATTTCCCCTTTCCTAGGTAAATTTCTGGAACTGAGGGACTTCGAGAGGGATGGTGAAGGTGATGAGCAGAGCCTGATCCCGTGGGTGGGGTTCCTCTGTTCAGATCTGGATCCATTTTTTCTCTTGAAATCTCTGTTTTAGATTTGTTATTTCTCTATGATGTATTGTTCTGGTGATTGATGTTGAAAATCCATGTATAATTGTTGAGAAATGAATGATGAATTTGCTATTATGCTATGAATATTTGTGGAATCTGGATTTGAATGTATATTATGGAGGAACTTTGTTTGGAATCTGATGAACTCTGGTTTTCTGGTTTTGTCTGCACGTTTTAATCCTTTTTTTTTGCCTACTTTCTCACTCGGATTATGTTTGTGGGTCGGGTTGACCCGACCCAATCCAATAGATTAATTATATGAAAAAAACTAAAAAGGTTAAAAAAGGGTGGGGTTATTGCCACAGCCACTAATGTTAATGCCACAGCTTTTTTCAGTTATTTGACCATTAACCCACGCGGAGAAGGTGGTGACTGCTGCAAGTTGGATTCAAATGAAGGGTATAATAGTCAAATAACTAAAAAAAGCTGTGGCATTAACATTAGTGGCTGTGGCAATAACCCCACCCGTTAAAAAAGTAAAAAAAAAACTGTAAAATTTTATTAATTAATTAAGTTAGTTAGTTTAATTTATGATTAATGAAGTTAATTGATCTTAATTAAAATAAATTAATCATATTATGAAACTTTAATTTGGGATAATTAAATTTATTTGATTATCTCAATTAAACATTATAAATGTCATTAATTAATTTTAATTAATTTTAATTAATATTAAATTAATTATTCAATTAAACTAATTATCTTAATTAATTAATTTCAATCTTCAATTTTTCTTAATTTGGATTAAAGTAAAAGGTTATCTGTTATTTTGTCTCAATTTTACTTAGAACTTTCTTGATTAAGTAATTTAGTCCTAGGTTTTAAATCTTTTCAAATTAGTTCTCTATGTTTGTGAATTTAATCAAGTCATCCTCCATGTTTTTGAGTTTAATCAAATCAGTCCATTTAATTTTCATTTGTGTTTATTGTGCATGCATGTTCTTGATTTGTCTATTTCAATCCAAAAAAATAAAAAAATGTGTTTTGATTTGGTTTATCTCCTTTTCAAGTTTGTTTATTAAGACTCAAACATAAATATAATAAATAAGTTGAATCAAAACCCCAATTTTAAAGTATGCAATCGTGTTTTAGCGGAGAATTGTGAGGTGCGCGTATGCTCTTCCTCACTCCTAATCAAACCCCCGAACCTCGATCTCTTCGCAGACTCATTTTAGGTGACTTGTCCCACCTTATAATTTGGACAAGTGACGACTCCTTTTTCTTATATTTTTCACACTTAACTTAATCTTTCATTTATTTTTTTTTTAAAAAAAAAATCTTAAGTGGTCGTCAACAGATTGGCGACTCCACTGGGGACTTAAACCCAGAATCTCTAGTTTCCATATTCTGGGTTCTCAAAGGTCGAGCTAATACTTTAATTTTGGGAAATTTTCAACTTTTGATTTTCCTTTGTTTGTTGAGTTTTTGTGGGTTTTTGTTATATGCTTGTTGTGTGTTGCTTGTTGCTTGTTTGCTCATTGTTTTAGTGGTTGCTTTGATCATTTTTGTCTTTGATTAGTTACCTTGCTACATCTTGACATGCATCATACCTTGCTCACATGTTCATGCATCATATCATTTCATATGCTCATTCATCATTGATATTATATGCTTATTCATCTGCATCATGCTTACATGCTTACTTGCTTGTATGTGGATATACTCACCTTTTTACACTTGGCTATGGAGTACTTAGTGAGTCTCTTCCTTTTTGTGCGATTATTTATATCTTGTTGCATGCTAAGTGTTGGTTGCTTTGTGTTACTAACCTTTTGCATTTGGCACGGGAGCACTAGGTGAGTCATTTCCTTCTGTGTAAGTAGGTTTGTTTGTGGATGATATATTTGTTGAGTGCTTTACATGTTTTATTTGCTTGTTTGCTTTATCTGCTTACTATGAGATATATATGGCTATTTTCGGGGTTGCCATTGTGCAGGTTATTGGGGTGTCATGCCCCTTGCACACACTCACTCTCATCTTGCATTAGGTCCATGTCGGAGGTGAACTCGACCTGTAGTGTGGAATCCTTATGAATTTGGCTTGGAAGAGCAATTCTTCCCACTTTAAGGAGTAAGATCAGTTCTCGTTAGGTTGTTTCTATTGGTTAATACGACACTTGATGATGTAATGTCATTCTGTGTATTAGCTTTTGGAAATATCTCCCGTTGACTCCCAAAGGATAAATGGTTGAGAAGGCCTAATGTCTTTTAGGAAAACATGTATTGAGCTTAGGGAGATATCAATCCTAGGACATGTTTCCCTTAGTGTCCCACCCGTGAAGCTAAGAGTCCCGTGTTTAAGGACAAAAAGGGTATTTTACTTTGCTAACGTTCATTTGCGTATATGGCAGCTTATTTTTGCACACCTAATGAGGTATGACATGTGAGGGTATGATTTATGTTTAACTCTTTATTTAGGTAAGATCATGCATTAGACATGGATTTTACCAAGGATACAACTAGACAAGGGAAGAGACTTGGGGAGGATGTCACATCTCATTCTATTGTTGAGAAGGCTAAGAAGTCAATCTTTTCAATCAATAACTCCAAACCTGACTTGAAGCTGCTGAAAGAGGCTTATGGATTGTTATCCTCTAGGGAGAAGCATGACTTTGAGGTTTGATTTGGGTGCATTGGGGATCTATTGTCAGTGGTACCGGATTGGAATTTGTTCCGAGCTATGTTGAAATTCCATGTCCCTCAATATCAAGCTTTTGTGTTCCCACACTTTGAGTTGGTGCCCACCATTGATGAGTATCATCACTTTCTACGATGTAGCCCTGTAGTGGATTCTTCTACCTTCACTCTTCAAGCACAACATATGAAGTTCACACTAGAAAAAAATCAAGAAATGTTGCAAGCTATGTGGGGGTTTTCATTTGAATTCTCATAACCATTGGTGACAACTAGAGACAATTCGTATGGGTTCAATTGGAATGCGGCATTAATGGCTTTGGGAAAGAGATTGAAGGGCATTACATCTTCTCAAAGAATCAACTTTGTGGCATTGGGAATTTACGGCATGGTGATCTTCCCTATCTATGTCAAGACCATTGCACCTATGGTGGTAGCTTTGTTTGAGCAATTGTCACACACTTCGACATTCAATCCTGCTTCTACAGTGGTAGTTGAAACTTTGTGGTCTATGAAAGAAATCCGGGTTAAAAGATCTGGCCGCTTCTCGGGTTGCATCGAGTTGTTCACTATATGGGCACATGGTCACTTGAGGGGTCCTCAATTTGAAGCTTTATTTAGTGTTCCTATGAAAGATAGAAAGACGGAGGATTGGCATCGATCACTTCTAGCAGCAACTGTTAATGATGTCGGATTTGTTCTCCCGACTTGGAATGCTACTTATTATCTTGGTCCACCCAAAGGATATCACTCTATTCCTTTGTTGGGTATTCAAGGAGGGGTTACATATTCAGTGGAGTTGGCATCTCGTTAGTTTGGAAAAGCACAAAACGTTCCCTATCTTGATCATGCATTGCAGTCACACTTTGATTACATGTCTTCCCCAACAATTGTATCCAAAGCGCATAAGGTGTGGGAGAAATGTAGGATGCTACCTATATGGAAAGAGAATGGGACTAGACCACAATATGAGCAATGGAGATCGAGTTGGATAGTTAAGCTTTCTTTGCCATGGGAGATGACAAATACGAAAGACTCTACCATCATGGACTTAACCGCTAAGTTGGAACTTAGCCATGCTCAAAGATGTAGTTGCTAGAGAAATATGATGAGTTAGCCCTTGATCATGAATTACTTAAAACAGGGAAAGAGTTGTCCGATTAGCAAGTGGCAGGGTTGAAAGAGAAGATTGCCTCTTTAAAATGGGATTTGGCTGCTAGTAAGGAAATTTGTGGGAAGCAAAGAGGAGCTTGGAGTTTGCTGAAGAACAACGAAAAAAGCTACTACGAGTAAAGGCGGATCGTAAGGCAAAGGAAAAGGAGACCAAAGAACTTGTGGAGAAAGTGATTAAACAACAAGAGTTAACAGGAAAAGTGATTAAGTGGAGAAATGCTTACAACAACTTATTGTCTGATTATGATGCTCTACAAAAGGAGTTACAAACGGCAAGGCAATCAAAGCAAGGGGAGAAGGAGAGCACAACTTGAAA